CAAGGCCATCCACCCTCCGCCTACATTCAGGACTAAATTTACCATGCCGGGCGTGCCTGGCTGGCTCCGATGTAAAGTGTGCAACTCTTGGGGTTGTGAATTTCAGCCCCACACTGGGTGGACAGATTACTTTTAAAAAATGTTTAAATTTACCATGCTCATCACCCCATCTGTTCCACTGATGAACCAAGTAGCAATCAGCCTAGGGCGCTAGTCTTGGGACAAGTTTCCCATGATGCTCTGCACCTCAGACACTCTTCTGGGCCTGTAGGAACTGGTGAGCCCGTTGCCTGGCTCCCTGCCCTCCACCCACCCTTGCCCATTGGCGACCTGTCCCCAGAGAACTGTGCCACATGGTCCTCAGGCCTGTGAAGGGAAAGCTGCTCGTTCCTCTCGTGCCTCCGTCAGGAGTTGGGGCCGGCCTTCATCCCTGGCCATTGTCACGGCACTCCCCGTCCTTCCTCTTGTCTAAAAGGGTGTTCCTTTAGGGTGCTTGCTGCTCCTCCGCCCGCCCTCTCCTCCTCCCCACTATTCTCATGCTCCGACCTCTCTCCCCCGTTGAATCCCCCTCGTTCATTGTGCACTTTGGCACCCGGCTCCTGGCCTTCCTTGCCAGCCCGTGTCCCGGCATCCTGGAGGAGTTGCGTGGCCATCCCACACCTGGGCCCCCACGCCCTCCTCACATCGGGTGGGCTCCTCCATGTCCCTTGGCCGCTGATTCCCAGGGGTTCCTTAGGGGCTTGTTCCTGCCCCAAACCTGCTCAATCCTTGCTCAGCCCTCCTCCTTTCTGACCATGTCCCCACCCCCCTGGGTGACACTGTACTATCGTCTCTAACACCTTTTTCTTTTTTTAACTCACTGACCCCTCAATCCACATTAACAGCTGCTTTTTCCTGCTCTGCGTTCCCCCACTTACCCCTTCAGTGTTTACCAGCCATTGTTGTAACAATGTCCTTGTCAAAACCCTAGTCTTTTACTCCTTGTTTTCTTCCCCCAGCGTTTTACCCCAGTATGGAAAATGCAGCCCTTGATCAGCCGAGTGCCGCTTTAAACCGTCACCTAGAGGCTGCGGGAAAGCCCCGCGCTTGAGGGAGTCTGGTGGCAGCTGGTGGTAAAGAAATGTTCTTCAAAGAGCCAAAGAATAATATGGGTGCGTTTGGGAATAACGGAATGGAGGACTCTGTGAATCATGGAGTTTGAAGGAAGGAGGGATGGGATATAGACAGAGAAAGGAACCACAGAGAATTACGGGGATCAGAAAAGGGGAAAACAGAACTGACTAGGGGAAGCCCTAGCTTACTCAGAGCGGCACTAAAGCAAGCCCTGGATGGATTTATTTATCCAGCCAGTGTTGACCAGGTAACAAATCTGCGTTTGTCTTTGGAAGATGGTGGAAACTCAAACCACTCCATGGTTATCTGCTCCCTGGAAGGGAAGGGTTCCAGGACCAGGGACTCAAATTTCCCCCAGCTTTTTCACCTTGGAGTTGGTAGAGGGCAGAGGAAAATGAATGGCTACAAAGGAATGAATGAGAAAGAAGATTGTTGTTAGGACGATGAATGCCCTGAGCAAGTGGGATATAGGCCTAGAGAGAAGGTAGGATGACCCTTTCATCAAAACGCAGGAGCGGAAGAGCTATCAGTTAGCGCAGGTCATGGCATCTTTACAGTCCCGAATCTCAGCGCTTAGAGCAACAACGGCTTTCTTCCTTTGTTCTACATGTTCATCATCGGTCGGTCGGCAGGGGAACTTCACTTACCAAAGGAACATGGGCTTATGGTCAACCGCCATCTTGAATGCTGCCGGTCCCTGAGCCACAGAGAGAACCTGGGGGGACTCTCTTGTTGGAGATTCAGGCTTGGATTAGAGATGGGCCGCTTTCCTCCCAGCTCACTGACCAGGATTAGTCTCTCTCCCCTCCCCTCCCCCCTGCCCACACGGGCAGGGGGCTAGGAAGTCCAGTTCTACTGGGTGCTTGGAAGGTGGATGCTTGGAATGTACTTGGTGAACAGCACTAATGAACCCTACAGCATTCTGTCCCAGATGAGCTTTAGTTCTAGATGTCACGCAGAATGTCTGTGCTGGAAAGCATCCCAGACCAGCCAGTACCTGTGCAGGATCACACAGGGAGCAGTAGTGGGTTGGCTGGGAGCCAGGTCTGCCGTTTCCCAGCCCCTCTGTTCCGTGGTAGCCTGGACTCCAGGGTTTGATTTTTCAGCAAGGCTAAGAACTCTTTGGAGCGCCCTCCCTTCACTTGGGAGTCTTTTTTTAAAAAAAGTAACTTTCCACTTTTTTATTTAAAAAATTTTTTTTAATGTTTATTATTGAGACAGAAACAGAGCATGAGTGGGGGAGGGGCAGAAAGGCGGGGGAGACACAGAATCAGAAGCAGGCTCCAGGCTCTGAGCTGTCAGCACAGAGCCCGATACGGGGCTCGAACCCACAAACTGTGAGATCATGACCTGAGCAGAAGCCGGACGCTCAACCGACTGAGCCACACAGGTGCCCCTCCGCTTTATTTTTAAAGTAAGCACTACACCCAATGTGGGGCCTGAACTCATGACCCCCAGATGAAGAGTCACAAGCTCTCCCAATGGAGCCAGCCAGAGGCCGCTGGAGTCATTTTTGTGGATGTCGCCCGAGTGTTGATTGCATCCTTGGCTATTGTCAGTCCTTCCACGTCATTATAATTAAATTTGCTTTCTTCCCAGGGGCTGATGGAACATCTGGACACAGAAGCCCCTGCGGGACCACTGAGTGGTCTTCCCAGCCTGATTCTTACCAAGTGCGAGACCAGCAGATTGTGAACATTTTGCATACTTTGCCTCCATTTCTTTCTTTCTTTTCTTTTTAAAGTAGGCTTCACACCGCCCAGCGTGGAGCCCAACGCAAACCTTGAACTCGTGAGCCTGAGATCAATACCTGAGCTGAGATCAAGAGTCTGACGCTTAACCGACTGAGCCACCCAGAGGCCCTCACTTTGCCTCCGTGTCTCATCAGTTACATACTACCTTGTCCATCTCCGCTCAGATGTCTTTCCAGACCTCCATGCTCCCACAGCCCCCATGCCTCTGTCTGTAATAGCATTTTGATATAAAAGGACACTTGTCACACCTGAAGCACGTGAGCAAAGACAGGCCCCGGCTTCAGGGAGGCTGTGCAACGCAGAGAACCTGGCCAACAACCCCAGCAGTCCTTTCTGCACGGCTGTGAGCGGAACTCTGAAGGACAGCCAGGAAAAAGGACAGAGAGCCTGTAACGGACATCTAGATCTACATTACAAAATTCTGGCAACCTTGGCCGTACACAATGATGTGACTGTAGTCTCATAAGACTGCCTCTCAGAACGGCTCCTGAGAACATTCTTTGCTTAGAAAATGCAAGAGATCTGACCGCTCCTCCCGCTGCCAGCAATCTGGGATAGACTTCAGGAGCTGGGGACACTGGAGTTAGTGGGTGCTTGCAAGGCAGAGGAACGAAGTAAGAAGTTCCTGAAAGTAACTTAGGACAAAAGTTTGCAAACCTCTAAGAATCATCTAAAAAAAAAAAAAAAAAAAAATCTCTGACTACTTCACAATTCATAGGACAATAAACAAATGAACACCATGTAGGATGCATATCTAGATGTTGAGATAGGCTAAGATGCTCAAACCATAGCTTTAGGGGAAGAAACATACAAAGGACATTTACAGGTTTTTACAAAAAAACAAAAGAACCCCCAAACCCGTCAATGTTGGGAGAGTTATGTATACGCCCAAACATGCATATTTGGAAGGGTGCAGATTACCAGTAAACCACGGTCTTCCTAGATGGCAGCTGGGAAGATGGGGAGAATGGGTCATTTTTTCTTTTGAATTTTGTGCCATTGTATCACTCGTTCTAAAATTAACCAAATGCAACGTGGCACCACGAAACAGGAAAACAGGCATTACTGGCAACTGGTGAAATCAGGAAAGTCTGTGATCAGTTAGCTGTAGCATACCACTATTAATGTCCTACTTTTAGTAGATTTCACTTTTTTGATGGTGGTCGTGTCTTGGATCAAAATTCCATCCTACCCACAGCTTACTATTTAAACCTATATAGAAAAATTGAAACTTCTCGGATTTTTCCCACACTGTTCCCTGTGCCCGAGACGTTCCTCACTCTCTTCCTGTCTTCGGAAGCTGTATTCCTCTTTCAAGGCCATGTTCACCGGTTATTTGCTTTGCAATGCTTCCTAACTTTCCCAGAGATATGATACACAGCCTTGCGACACATGGCTTCCTACGGTTTTACATTCATCCATTGGGCTTCCGAAGAAGCCGACTCCAAGATGAAAATTACGTTGTGGGTTAAATTTATTATGGATCGTTCCCGTGGAAGGGAAGATCCATTAAGAGGAGGCAGAGAAGCGAGGCAGTCCTAGCCAATCCTTTGACAGACCCCACAAGGAACTGATACAGAGATGCCCTTTGAAGTCGTCCCAAGTTGCAGTGAGAGGGAAAGAGCCCTTAAGATGCCTAACCCATTAGTCACTGGAGATGGGCCACCCAGGAGAGGGGGCATGGCCTTGGCTAGGGCAGTTCTCTTAGGGACAGGCACTTCTCAAAAGGACTGACCAGCTGAGGGCTGTCAGCAACACTTCCAGCAGCTAAGGCCTTACTGAAGGGGCTGGTGTGGCCCACCACACCAGTAGAATTAGGTCTTACCAAAATAATCCTAATGCTAGGACCAGAGTACAGTTATGTTCCAATTTTCTAGGTCAGAACACCTAAAGTACTCAGGCCTGGCTGTCTGAAAGTAGCAGCCCGGACCATAGCATTTTAGGTTTCTTCCTACACTAAGAACCAAGATGGTCCATCCCTCAACCAGTTGCTCCGGTAGCAGAAGGAGCGAAGTCTCCCCCCACGATCAGAAGCTTAAGAAATTCATTCTCCGTTTGGCAACAAGGACAAAGGAAAAGATTTCATTTTGAGAGAAATAGAATTTCTTAGTCAATAACTTTTTTAGGTCTTTCGTCTTTTCAAGCAAATGAATACTTTTATTAACATGGTCATTTTTTTTTTCTTTTTATTACACATGGTAGGGTTTTGACCTCAAATACTTGTCAGGTCTGCTACTCAAATGAACGTATATATAGCAGGACAACTTGTGAACTTCAAAAATACCTAGTCCCTGTCCAGTGTTAGGGTCCAATGCAGACAGTCCTCCTTTCCTTTCCCGGCCCCTCAAGGGCCTTTGCAAAAACCTCTTCCATCTTATGCCCAGAACCCCCTGAGATGCATTAGGGTATTACATCAACTTGTACAAAATGCCAAGATCTTGTCTACTCTAGGTTTCACGTCAAATAGAGCAGAGCTGGGTTGTCCAAACAGACGGACCAGACAGGTTACCTCCGATGGCGCGCCACATAAAATTTAAACTTTGAACAAAATACATCTCTTCTGCTTTGGTCTCACACAGAAATTAAAGTCCCCCAAAACAGACAGACCCTCCTCCACCCCTTCTTCGGATTCAAGTCCTTGCCAGATCAGCCCCATTCACATTCCAAGTCCAAGTCTGGTCCCTTCTTCAGCTTCTGTAGCGGTTACCGCAGGAAGTCCTCTTCTAGAAGGAACGGCGGCGCTGCGGGCACTTCCAGAGCTGGAAAACTCCAACTCTCGCGTCTCACGGGACACAGACTCGAAGTTCCAGGGAGCTTTCCAGTCACACAAAGCGCAAAGCACCTCGAAATCTGGAAACCACCAAAGCCCAGGAACAAACATGACTGCTGCAAGAGCTTACAATCTAGGCCCTAATTCTCGTGTGAGAGCATTTTCCAGGCAAAAATTACTTTCCCAAACAAAAACATCGAACAGTCAAAACTTATCTTGAGGTCATCAACCGCAGACCATTGCAGAAACGTAGTGTAAGTGAGGACAGAGTGTAGACAGAGGAAACAAGAAAAAAAGAGAGAAAACAAAAGGCTCTCTGGTTTCAGCTTCGTAAGGACGTCAGCCAATCTCCATCAGTTGACCAGAATCCGTTGGCTGTAAACCTAGAACGCGAGCGGGAGAGAGTCATCACGAGGATGTTAATTCTCAAGGAAAAACAAACCAAAGCCTGTCGCACGTTGAACCGTGCCCGACGCCAGCTCTTCTCCAAGGCCCCTGACACCAGCTCTTCTCCAAGGCCCCTGACACCTTCCCGTCTTCTGGCAAAATCGGAACTCGTCCCGTAACGGCCCTCCCTCGGATAATCCGCTTTCCCTTCCCTCTTGCTTAAGGGCCCCTGTTGGGACTCTTGCTTCCTTCAAGGCCTGCGCGGTTCTCCAATTACCCTACTGACCGTGCCTTTGGGCTTCAACTAAACATCCCAGACCCAGCTCTTCCCAACCAGCGGCGTGGAGGATTCTTCACTTTGCTACGCATGCCCGGGGTCAAAATTGAGCGCGCTTGTATTTCTCACGCCCCCAACGTCCACCCCACGCGGACCTTCATTAAACGCGTTTCGTCGGGAGATCAACCAAGGGTCCGGCAACGACCCGGACCCGCCTGGGGCCCCGCCGCCCCCTCCCCCCACCCCCGGCCTTACCTCCCGCCCTCCTTCACGACGACTCGCTTCTCTCTATCCGCCGGACCAGCTCCACCAGCATCTCTGCCATCTTCGCGATCTCCTTGGCCTTCTCCTCCGCCTTCTCGCCCCGTCTGGTCCCTCTGCCCTCGGCCCCGTCGTCGGGATTCTGCAGATGGTTCAGGGCGCTCTCCTCCGAGGCCTCCACCTGCGTCTTGATCTGGACGAGCATATTGTCCATCTCCCACAGCTTGCTCCGGTTCCGCAGGTGCGCCCGGCCGCGCTCCCGGGTCAGCGCCGCGATGTCCTCGCGCATCTCGTGGATGACGGGCAGCAGAAACTGCTCGAAGTCCTCCTCGGGCTCCAGCACCTCCACCTCCTCCGGCTCCGCCAGCTCGACGACGTCCAAGGGCCGCATCCTCCCCGCCTCTCCGGAACCGCGGTATCGACGTCGGCTGCGGAGAGAAAATGGAGACTCGCTAGGCTTACCCACAGCGTTCCAGAATACGCTTTCAAACTTTCACCCTTTTAAAACTTTTCGCCGCACACAAGCCACGGAACCGAGCGACTTACGAGCAGAGAAGCCGCGAACAAAATGGAGTCCCAGCCGTCAACCAGCGCCCTGAGCGTTGCGGCCCCTTTCGCGACACGGCGGGGCCTCTTTACGGCCACGCCTCTCGTCCAACGAGGTGCGGCCGCGCGCGCGTCAACGGGGGGCGGAGCAACCGCCCCGCCGCGGCTGCGAGCGCGCGCGCCCGCACGCCCTCGCGCTCCGCCTCATTTCCCCTTCCCCCTCCCCCCCTGCGCGGGGCCGCTTCGCCCCATCGTTTGGGGTGAGCCCTTCCACGCGCACCCTGATGTTGGAGGCCTCCTGGAGGGCCGAGCTCCGTAGTTTTAAGTTATAAACGCGATCTTTCTGCACTTAACGAACATCCCCAGACTAACCGTGGGAGCCTCCTCCATAGCAGGGCACTCGGACCCCTGTCAGCCGACATCATGTGTAGTTTTCGTTCTTCAGAAATATCTAAATATCTGGGTGCCTTTTCACCAGGCCGCCTCCCCGCCCCCCCCCCCCCCCCCCCCCGTAGGGTACGAAGCCTAGTCTGGTTCATCATGAGGTCCCAGCAGACCCAAAGCTCGGTGGATGCAAAGAGGGGTTTTGTTGAGGTGTCCAAACACCTTATGGGTTGAAGGTCCTCTGTGTAGGGGGGTGGGGTGGGGATGGGGTCTTTCTTCTTGTTCAGCTCTGTGTCCCTGAAATCCTGGGCAGAGCTCGGCACACATTAGCAAACTTGCCTTCACATTTGTGAAACACAGACTTTTAAGCAAAGATCGGTTAATTTCCTAGCCTGTTAGGGCAGTGAAGACGGTCAGGAATCCAGCTCGCCCAAGTGCCTCACCTCGGGCTTCGGGCTTCCTGTCCGTTAAATGGGCACAGATCCTAGTTTTGACTATGGCAGAGTGAAGAATGAAAAGAGAAAGCAGGGATGAAAATGTTTTGCCAAGGGCGCCTGGGTGGCTTAGTCGGTTAAGCGTCCGACTTTCACTTGGGTCATGATCTCGCGGTTCGTGGGTTCGAGCCCCGCGTCGGGCTCTGTGCTGACTGCCGGCTCGGAGCCTGGAGTCTGTTTCAGTCTGTGACTCCCTCTCTCTCTGACCCTCCCCTGCTCATGCTGTCTCTCTCTCTCTCTCCTAGAAATGAATAAAAAAAAAAAAAAAGAAAGAAAATGTTTTGCCAGTACTAAGCATATACACATGTAAAGTCCTTACAGTTTAGACTTTTCTCAGCTTCTTTATATTTTGGTTGTGAGACTGACCTTGGGTAGGAAAGGGTAACAACAGCCTGTTCACGGCAAGGAAGCAGAAAGTACTGGACCTTCGGAAATACCCACTCCCTGGAGCAAGGAGCCCTGAAATGTATCCTGGTTCAGCGGCTGCACGGTTCCTCCCCCTCAAAAGGGCTGGCCATTGTCCCCGATGGAAGCCTCCTTCACAGAGGACTTCTTCTCCTCCAGGGGCCCCTCCGGGCGACAGGAGGCTTTTTCTTTAGTTTCCTTCTCTCCCTAATAAACTTGCTGTCTGTGTTGCCCTTAACCTTGTTGCTCGGTTCCATTTTTTTGGCTCTGTCAAAACACCATCTGGGGGTTTCAAAAAAACGATTAGAGCTGCCCTATTAAAATTCCAACTTTGGGGCTTCCTCAGCATATCAGAGGCAGCTAGCTCCTAAGTATTTTGTATGAATAAAAATGGCTCAAACTATGATGAGATCTCACTACACCCTTGTTAAAAAGGCCAAAATCCAGACAACTGACAACATCAAAAGCTCGTGAGGATGCAGAAGAACGGGAGCTCTCGTTCATTGCTAGGGTGAATGCAAAATGGTGCACAGTTGCTGTGAAAGGCAGTGGCGCTTCCTGTTGGATTTGCTATTGACAAGGAGGGCAGGGGGCGCCTAGGTGGCTCAGTCCGCTTCTTAAGATTCTTACAAAACGGAGCATACTCTTCCTATATAGTCCAGCAGTTGTGCTCCTTGGTATTTATCCAACGACTGGAAACCTGACATCGACACAAAAACTTGCACACAGGTGTTTTTTAGCAGCTCTACTCATATTTGCCCAAATCTGGGAGGATTTGACGATCTGGTAATCCAGAGAGTGGAGCATTATTTGGCACTGTGAAAATTAATAAGGGTAATTTTATTTACCAACAGGGAGATTCTGTAGAGGGAGCTCTCATGCTCTCCCTCCTTGTTGGCTGGTTGGTTATTAATGTTTATTTATTTTGAACTTTAACTTTGAGATAACGACCTGAGCCGAAGTCAGATGCTTAGCCGACGGAGCCTTAGCCGACGGAGCCACCCAGGTGCCCCCTGCCCTCCTTGTTAATAGCAAATCCAACAGGAAGAGACACAAGGCACCCTACAGTTGAATACTACTTAATGCTTGTTTATTTTGAGAGAGAGACAGAGAGAGTGCAAGTGGGGGAGGGGCAGAGAGAGAGGGAGACACAGAATGAGAAGCAGGCTCCAGGCTCTAAGCTGTCAGCACAGAGCCAGACTCGGGGCTCAAACTCACGAACTGTGAGATTATAACCTGAGCTGAAGTTGGATGCTCAACCAACTGAGCCACCCAGGCACCCCAGGTTGGATACCACTTTAGGATCCTTAGCAGTAGGATGAAAGCTTACCTCTCCCTAGTAACAGTGCAGCCAATGAGAAGCCCCTACACTTCAAAGTCCCAGTTTACTCCAGTGGACTTTCTGTTTGCACACTCATCTACGGTTTTGCCACTGGTTGCTTGTCCTGGGCTTCAATTCTCTGCTATTCCCAAATAAACCCGTCTTTTGCTGGTAAAATAAATGGCCGTTTTATTTTCAAGGTTAACAAGGCTCTTCTTTCAAACATCGACATGAATTTCTGCTCCCTCCTTAAAGTCTTTGATCATTTGCGAAATGAACGAAAAGAGACATTAATAGCATTTTTCAATTTTCTATAACCTCATTAACTTGTTGTCTGCTTCACCTACCGATGATCTCATTATACTGATGGATTTATTCACTTGTAATTCTGTCATTTTTTTTGCACACACATGCATACACATGCAGCTATTTTATCCAGTGCACAGAGGTTAGACTCATTATATTATTCGTATCAATTGAAGTTTCAGGAAGGTTTTGTTTCCCCCTCAAGTCTACCTGGCCAAGTTTTGCTTTTTCTTTTGTTTTATTAAAGTAATATTTTCCACAGATTGTCACCGCAACTTGTTTTCACGTTTAACTTCTCTGAAATTGTGCTGCATCTTTCATTTGCTGTGATTTAAAGAAACATGATTCACACTTTAATTGTAGCATATTCTTATTCTTAGCATTACCTAAGAAAAGGGTAAATCTTAAAATTGATGGCTTCTCAGATTTGACAAAATCCCATATTATTTCAAAATGTTAATGTTGTTTTGCTGCTTGGTCAGTGATCTGTTTTCTGTAGTATCTGGTCCTGTACCTTGCTCCTGAACAGGATGTTCTCAAGTGCAGGTGATTTGTCCTCCAGGGACAAATTGGCAGCGTCTGGAGACATTTTTGGCTGCCCTTGTCACAGCTGGTGTATAATGGGTAGAGTCCAGGGATATTAACATTGCCTGGCTAATTTTGATTGTGTTTTCATTCTTGACTTTTTCCCCCTTCAGTCACTTTCCATTTCTTTACATATTTTATAAAAAGTCATTTTCTATTTTATATCTGATAATTCCAATATCAGTTGCTTTCTGTTTCTGTGACTCACTCATGGTGTTTTGTTTTCTTTAAAAACAATTTTTTAAATGTTTTATTTACTTCTGAGAGGCAGAGACAGCATGAGCAGGGGAGGGTCAGAAGAGAGATGGAGACACAGAATCGGAAGCAGGCTCCAGGCTCTGAGCTGTCAGCACAGAGCCCGATGTGGGGCTCAAACCCACAAACCGTGAGATCATGACCCGAGCTGAAGTCAGACACCCAACTGACTGAGCCACCCAGGCGCCCCATGGTGTTTCGTTTTCGCGGTGTGTATAACATAGATATTTTTACATTTATTTTTGAGAGAGAGAGAGAGTTGGACAGAGGATCCAAAGCAGGCTCTGTGCTGAAAGCAGTGAGCCTAAGGCTGGGCTCGAACTCACGAACTGTGAGATCATGGCCTGAGCCAAAGTCGGATGCTCAACTGACTGAGCCGCCCAGGCGCCCCTGGCTGAACCTAATTTGGGGGAATCCTAACAGGTTTGGTTGAGAAAGCTACTCCAGCAGGGACTCGTGATTGTTTCTGATGGGCGCGAACTTCAGGATCTAGCTGAGTGCAATCCCATTATTACACATTCTCAGAATTCTTTCTCCAAATTTGTATTTATATTTTTATTAGTTGTTTCCACCCCTAACCAGAACACACAAACCGGTCGCTCTGCACAGGTTGGAAGATACTCAATGGCATGGTTGGTTCAACCCCTCCCAGACCTAGTCTTCCCTCCCCCATATTTCTGCTTGTGGTAGGTCTGGGTTTGCTCTTTGCTCATGCATTTGGTTTTATTATTCACTTCTCTCCTGGCCGCCTTTGGGGGTTTCTCTTACATTCTTGCAAGCTCTGCAATGCATCGAGAGGAAAGTTTGTTCTAATCTGTGCCGCCTCTGGGTGCGGCAGAAGAGCATTTTCGAATGTCTTATCCCCCATAACTCCAGAAGCAGATGGTCTCCCTACAGCCTACCTTTCCGGCCCTTGATTCCCAGATCATGTTTGGCTGAGAAGTCTGAAGGACAGCAGGACTTTCAGGATGCTGGAGCTGCACCCCTTCTGGAACATTAAGGGAGATGGTGACCCCGGCTGGTGTCTGCCTCTGAGGACTTCGAGACTGACAGCCTCCTCCATCTTTGTCATTCCCATCCTGCTGGCCCACAAGAGCATAGGCCACCTACTTCTCTGAGACGTGGACCGAAGCCCCAGGTTGCCAGAAGCAGATGTGGAGAGTGGGGATGTTAACATGGTTCACAGGCTTTATCTTGCTTGGGAGAAAGAGGACAGAGCACAGGTGACAAAGACCTGTGGGTGA